GCAAATAATATTACTCCAAATAAATCGTCTAACATAAGTTTGAGTAACGCTCGGGTACGGCTCTGCTTCCACCCACTTAGTAAAGTAGTCTGTAGCTAGCAACACATACTTGTTCTGAGCTCTGGCAGTTGGTAGAGGACCAACTACATCCATCCCCCATTGCGCGAAAGGCCATGGTGTGGCCATTATATGCAAGTCTTCAGGCGGTTGGTGAATCAGTGGTCCGAACCTTTGGCACTTATCGCACCTTCTAGACAATTCTTCCGAATCTCGCGACATGTTTGGCCAGAAGTACCCTTGAGCCATTGCTTTATGTGCTAATGATCTCCCCCCTGAGTGGTTTCCACACACACCTTCATGAATAACTCGTAATATTTGCCGAGCCTCTGTGGGGGTAACGCACTTTAAGTACGGTCCGGAAAAGGATCTTCTGTATAACTGGTTATGCACTATGGCGTACTTTGCAGCATTCGTTTTGATTTTCCTAGCCTCATTTCTTTGTTCAGGCAGAGTACCATCTCGAATGTAAGTTATGATCGGATCAATCCAGCTTGGCTCATATGGAATAACATTCACTTGCCAAGGATCTGAGCCTGAAGGCTCTTCGAAAATGGATGGCTGGTTTAAAATTCCCACTGGAACCACCCTTGCCAATGTTTCTCCAGAACCCGAGGCGCTACATGCTAGCCTGTCGGCATCTCCGTTACACTCCCTCGGAATTTGAATGAATTCAATTTTTTCAAAGTTCTGTGCCTCCCGCATAACAGCAGAACGATATGCTTCCATCGTTTCGTCCTTGGTTTCATATTCACCCCTCACCTGCCGAACGACTAACTATGAGTCGCTGAAAACATTCAAATTCCTGACCTTAAGTTCTTTGGCAAGCTTTATTCCTGCCAGCAACGCTTCATATTCGGCCTCATTGTTCGTGGCTGCGAATTCAAGCCGAAGCGCTTGGCTTAAGGCTGTACCTTCTGGTGTCTGCAGTTTGATCCCAATGCCTGCACCCATCTGATTTGAGGATCCATCAACGAAGGGTTTCCATAAGCACTTACAAAGGTCCTCCTCCACGTCTTCTGAATCACATTCTAGTAGAAAATCTGCCACCGCCTGCCCTTTGACTGCTGTTCTAGGTTCGTATGTGATATCAAATGAGCTTAACTCTATGGCCCACTTCGTCATTCTTCCGGAGAGATCTGGTTTGTACAGGATTATTCTGATAGGGAAAGTGGTTAGAACGATAATAGGATGGGATTCAAAATAATGCATGAGCTTTCTTTTCGCATGCACTAGCGATAGTATCACCCGCTCTGCCTTTGAATAACGCCTTTCGGCCTCGGTCATTGTTTTGCTAACATAGAACACTGGGTATTGCTTCCCTTCTGCGTAGCGGATCAGAACGCCACTTGTTGCAATGCTGGATACTCCGAGATACAGAAACAGTTTCTCGCCCGACTCTGGAGCTGACAGTACCGGAAGGTTCTGCATATATTTTTTCAGAGCAGTTAACGCTAGGCGTTGTTCATCTCCCCAGACCTGTCTGCCGTGGCTTCGGATTGTGTCAAAAAATGGCTTGCATCGATCTGACAGTTTGGAAATGAAACGGCTCAGTGCAGCAATCCGTCCCGTAAGTGTTTGCACCTCTTTGATTGTCGTCGGCTCGGCATTCTTAGTCAGAGCATCTGCTTGGGCAGGACTTGCCTCGATGCCTCTGAGGTTAACCACGTGCCCTAGGAATTGGCCTAAACTTACACCGAACGAGTACTTGGTTGGATTGAGCTTCATTCCATACCGCCGCAAAACCTCAAACACGCCTCGAAGATGCTGCACATGATCGGCTTTCTTCTTACTTTTGACCACCATATCATCAATGTAAGCCTCCACTGTCTTCCCTATTTGTTCCTTAAAAATCTTGCTAATAAGTCTTTGGTAAGTTGCCCCGGCGTTCTTTAGTCCGAACGGCATAACTTTGTAGCAATACGTCCCGCGTTCAGTAACGAAAGAAGTTTTTTCTTCATCAGCGGGGTCCATGGGGATCTGATTATAACCCGAATAAGCATCTAAAAAGGTCAGGCGTTCATATCCAGTTGTTGCATCCACCATCTGATCAATCTTTGGCAGCGGGAAGCTATCCTTCGGACAAGCTTTGTTTAAATTGGTAAAATCAATGCACACGCGCCATTTCCCATTTTTCTTTTGTACAACGACCACATTCGATAACCAGTCGGGGTAGTGCACTTCTCTTACGAACTCCGCATCAAGCAGCCTATCAACTTCCTCGGCAATAATTCGGTTGCGCTCGGGGGCAAACCGTCGCTGCTTCTGTTTTACAGGTTTTGTATTGGGATTAACGTTCAAGGAATGACCAGATACCGAAAGATCGATCCCGGGCATGTCCAGGTGACTCCATGCGAACACATCTGCGTTTTGAGACAAAAAATCAACTAATTCCTGCTTTGCCTCCTCAATGAGTCGTTCCCCTACTCTGGTTGTCCGTTCCGGTCGGAACTGATCGATCTGCACATCAAGCAAGGGTTCTTCAGTCAAGCCCTCTGGTTCCTCCTCTCCGTTCTGCCTGGAGGGAGGCTCCTGTAGTTGCTATCTCGGACTTACTGAACGAATGGGAGCTTTCCCCTTTCCGGCATGTTTCAGCATTACAGAGTAACATTCTTTAACTGCAACTTGGTCTCCATGAATGTCAATCACTTTGGTTCCATCAGGTGCCAGGCATCTCATTACCTGATGCAGAGTGGAAGGAACACCTCGAACCCTGTGGATCCACCCTCTGCCCATCAGAAGATTGTAAGAGGGATGAATTTCAACAACTACAAAGGTTTCCATCAAAACCCTCTCGGCAGCATACACCGCTACCTCCACCGTGCCGACAGGCTCCACTCGCTTTCCATCAAACCCTACTAGTGGATTCCCGGTGGATTTTAGCTGATCCTGTTTGATCTCGAGCCGATCGAATGTATCTCTTGGCATGATGTTCGCACTACTTCCAAGGTCAATTAGAACTCTGCGCACCAAGCATTTGGCCACTATCAAACTTACGACCAGCGGGTCCTCGTGAGGGATTTGAACACGCAACAAGTCTGTCGCGTCAAACTTTATCTGCGTTGATGCGCTCTGCTGGTGCAGAGTGTTTACACTGCCTATCCTTCTCTTCATCCGTGCCTGACGAAGGCGTGCTCGAAGCAATTCATCTAATTCCTCAGCAGGTTCTGGCCGACCGTGAATTGCATTAATTACTAGAATTGGTTGCGTGTTGTTAGAATTCGACTTCTGATTCTTCTTCACATGCTCCATTGGCCGGTTCTGCTCCACCGCTGGTCCTTGAATATAACTTGCGAACTCCCCTCTGGCTATCAGCATCTCTACCTGTCTCCTTAGGTTCCTGCATTCGTTAGTCTGGTGGCCAAAATCAGAATGAAATGCACAGTGTTTAGACCGATCCCTCTGTTCGAGAGGTTGCCTGATTGGTAAAGGAGGTCGGAACTTATCTTTATTTTCTTGGTACAGTCTTGCTAGGGTAACTTTCAATGGAGTAATCAGCTCTTCCTCTCTGGGCCTCTTCTCAGATTTCCACGAGGAGCGTTGCGGTTCGACCTGTTTTTGCCCGATCTTTGCTTTGGTCTTTTCTTTCGTGGATATAACGGATGTCTTCCGAGCGTTTGCCGCCTCTTCTTCTTCCAAGCGTACAAATCCATTGGCTCTTTCGTTAAGTTCATCCATAATCCTCGGCGTGTTGACCACCAAACTTCTGTGGAACGGGGTGCCACGATTCATAGCCAGAATGAATGCTTGAACTGCCGTTGAAGGATGGCATTCAATAACCATGCTCTTGGTAAGGTTAAACCTGGTTAGGAAAGCCTGGAGACGCTCTTCAGCATGTTGCTTCATTGTGAATAAGCTCGAAATATCTTTCGCTGGACGCTTGTTTCCATAGTATTGGCTTATTTACCGATCGCACAGGCTTCGGAAACTATCCACCGAACCCCTCGGCAGGTTCTTGAACCAATTCAGAGCTGGTCCGGCTAGACTCGTAGGAAAGCACTTGCACATCAAAGAATCATTCTCAGTGTTTAAAGCCATTTTCAGCTGGATGTGATACACATGATCGATCGGATCAGTCGTTCCGTCGAACAGAATGAAAACGAGCATGGAAAATTTCCTCGGACTTGGAGCATTCAGAATCTCATCGGTGAACGGTGAATCCACCGTTCGAGCTGCTGAACGGAGTGCTTCATTCTCCCTCTGGAATCCCGCGGCTGCTCTCTTGTCTACTGATCTCCTCTCTGAGCTGTGATAGTCGAACGTCGTCATGGAAGGCCGGTAGGTCGGATCGAATGATCTATCCTCAACAAAGTCCTTACGCCATGGAGGCATAGCTTTCTGACGAATCAACGCTGTTGCTTCACCTCGGCTGAGCGTTTTTTGATGTGGATCAAAAGTCATCGCTTCGTTTCGCCTGATCTGCTCACGCCGTGGATCCATGTGAATCGATCCTTCACGATCATCCATACGACGAAGATTTGGCGGCAGACCGTCTCGCCGGATTTCCTCGCGGTGAGGATCAACTAGATTGTTTTCAACCTCTTCACCGTGATGTGCTGCATCGGTACGTGCACCTTCTTCGCCTACCGGAAGTGGTCGTGGAATTACTGGAGCTTCTTGACGCTGTATTTCATTCCTTAGATCTGCATTTTCTCTCTGGAGAGCTTCGATCATGTTCATCAACTCATCGAGTTTCACTTGCTGGATGTTCTCAACCGTATTAGAGTTGTCACCCCCTATCATGATTCCGGATCGAAGCAAAGGCATGAATTACAAACTTCGAAACAGATCTAAGCGTTACCGATGCAAACTCCGCTAGATCTGGGCTTAACTTTACCGAATCGTGATCGCTGTTTGCTAGATCTGAACTTTTCTAGCTTCAAACTCGTCGGATCTGACTGCAACTTAGCAAATCGCAATTGCGTCCTTCCAAAGCAAATGCCTCAGAATCCACAATAATCAAGAATTCTCTCGGGGCAAACTACAATCTCACTGATCTGGATTCAACATCCAGCAGTTACACTGCATATTCACAAACTCGATTGAACTAATATGGTACTGATCGGGCTCGAATTGATCTTCGTCCTCGATTCCCACAGACGGCGCCAATTGAAGATACAATATTCAGTTTCATCTCTCTCACTCTTACTTTCTCTCTCTCTCTCTTCTCCCTAGCTTTCTCTTCTACTTTCCACCCGTCATGGTCTATTTATAGGCCATGACCCTCTTTTGCAGTTAACCAATTACATTAGGCTTATAACCCAAAGTTCTCTTCCTTCTGGGATGGATCTTATAATGGGCTTGACCTTCCTCGGTGGACCCCCCACGTTCGGCCCATTCCAGGGTGCTTTGACATGGATCCTTCTTCAATCATTCGACCCGATCTCGTTTCCGCGATCCATATCCGGCCCATGCCACTTGCCGCATCCTCAATATATATATATATTGCCTTAGTATTTTACCCTAAAAATAAGCTTTTCCAATCGTTGCGAGCGTTCAAGAAAATCCAGTAACAAACTCCATTCAGCATTTTCACCAATCTCCAAACAAATCAAATGGTCAAACTTTGGCAACGGAGACCTGCACAAACGAACGGTCTTCGTGCAAAAAAACAGAAAATGAAGTCAATTAAAATTTGAATTAAGCCACCAATAGTCCAAAATGTAGGGCTGGGCATAAATAAAAATGAAAGAAATCATCAGAAATAGACTAACAGGGCTGGGTGAGATAAAATGAAGCCTCTGAACTTTAGATATTCCTTCAACAAATTCTGCTACAAGTCCTTCCACGGAATAATGACGGTCAGGGCTGTCTCCTAGTACAAATCTAATGTTTGCATTGACAAGGGCATTTAATTTATCGACCGAATAGCTTTTGGCATCGCCTACATAGCCATTATATTCAAGATTTCGAAGATTTGGTGTATTAAGTACAAGCTTGTAGCCACCCTGAGGGTAACTATTAAAAACATTGTAGCCACCCTCACGGTAACAATTTATAACTAAACTCTTGAGAACAGGAGCAGAAATGTGGAACACCCTAATCTTTCTGTAATTGCATCTTTTTACAGACAACTCTTCAAGCAGAGGGCAGCCAGAAAAGAGTCTATCAATTGAGTCATCATCCGAAAATTCAAGTCCTTGAATAAGGAGGATTTTGAGATTCTGAAGAGAAACCAAAGTAGGGACATTGAGAACAAATCCACCAACCAGTTCAAGTACGATTAGACTTGTGCAAGTAAAAACCTCAAGAGGCAGCCCTTGATGGTAGGATATCCTTTGGAAGAAAAGATGAAGCTCACGCAGATTACGTGCTAGTGCAGTAGAAATCCAAACATTAAGATGTGAATACCTCCAAGTACATCCCAGGCGAAATGTATGCAAATCTGGCATGTTGCGCATGAGAACTTCGTTGACAAAATTTACGAAACTCATTACAAGTTTTTGTTCGGTACACTTCTGAGAATATATAGGTTTGAGTAGCCACTTATCATCGAAGTCCAGATTAGTGATTGAGGTCCAGAGATACTTCCATTTTGTTGACAATACACCAGTTGCCACTGCTTCCTTTATTGGAAGGAAAGAGAGGATATGGCCAATAAGACAGCTTGGTAAGTTGCTAATTCTGTCTTCATTTCCCTCCACCCCAACTTTCTTTTTATAAATTGAATGCATCACTTCTGGTATGCTCCCTACTGAAGGAAAGAAATATAATACTCCATAATAAGATACTGAAAAGATGGCAGTGAACAATGTGAAGAACTTGTAGAGTTATATGTCTATATATATAGAGTTTTGATTTAGCTATCCATTGGATACCCCAGAAGAACATTGATTGTGGTAGTTTGTTTTCGAAATTGCATTAAAATTGGAACCAGATAGGTGAAAAGCCACTCAAAGGATTCACTTTCCATGAAACACTAAATTGAGGCACGTTATTTTGGCTAACGAGTTGGGCATCTTCCTTGAATCTACTGGCCCTACCGGGTGATGTATGTGAATATGACTAGTTTTGTCTCATTAATAAATATGGAAAAATAGATAATGAAAATTATATAATATGTTTTATATTTATTTTGTTGCAATAGATTGAATCCATTCTTCCTATTAACTCAATAACTCATTGTCCCACAAGCACTTTATTGTGAACATAAGATTATGAAGATAACAAAGATATAAAATCTTATAATAAATACATGCAATTCATTTGTCGTGAGGGCATAACACATAATAAATGTATAATAAACCACACTTTTCACTACATTTTTTTATTGGATTTGAATGTGTGATATGTAGCAATTATAATTTTTTTGTTAAACCAATGCCTAAGGAATTGAGGGAAAAGAAAGGGGAAAGAAAGAAACAAAGCAAAAATTTGAACAATATGTATCAATTAGAAATTTCTTTTACTTGGATAATAAAAACTATAAATTAAATAATAATAATAAATTAAATAAATAAATTTGCTACAACTTCAAACTTCTCGAACAGAGTCAAAGCCCTAATCCAGTCCTATATTCAACAATCTCAAAGATCCACCCAATGTTGAGCTGTTTCTAAAATGTATCAACAATAATCTCACATTAGAACTGAAGAGTGGTTTATTCATGCAGTTGAATAAAGAAAACTAAAGCCTAATTAAAGTAGCCGAAAAAATTAACATTGAGAGATAGAATGGGAGATTTAGAGAGAGCAAGGAGTGAAAAACTCAACTGTAGAAGGTCGCCGGCCTTGAGAACTTGGAGAGGAATCAGACGGTTGTGACCGTGTGAGAGCTAGGAAGGCGAAGGCAAAGGCAAAATACAGAAGAGTAGACTCTTGAAAAGCTTTATCACCTTCACTGAACTTGGAGAGGAATCAGACGGTTGTGACCGTGTGAGAGCTAGGAAGGCGAAGGCAAAGGCAAAATACAGAAGAGTAGACTCTTGAAAAGCTTTATCACCTTCACCTCAAAAGTGAAGGATTAGTCTAATTCTCGAATTATGTGAGAAGCTTCTTTGAAAAGCTAAATGTGAAATCATTTTTTTTTTTTTAAATTCAAAAATTTTTTTGAACAGTAATTTCAAAGATATCTGTTATTTCTATTGTACCGATGAGGCCATTATATTATATTCCGAATTGGGTAAAACAAATTTCAATTGTCAATATCGGGGACACTATCAGCCGTGCAAGTAGTACTTCGACTGTGAGCTCGTTCGATTAAAGTATTGCTTTACAACCATTTGAATATTTTGATTGACCTTTCTTTAAATTAATATGGTGTGTAGTTTAGGGTATATTACACTTTTCTCTTTATAGATCGGGCAAATAATGAAAACCTCTCATCTAATTTGAATAATCACACACTAGCCTCCCCTCTAGTCCATACCTTTTTACCATACAATCTAATAAGTAAGAAAGTTAAGAGTGAGAACAGGTAAAAAAAAAATTTGGTGCTTCTTTATTTTATGAATATGATTCCTGAAAGGTTGTTTCAAAGAAAATTAATTTTTTCTTTTTATGGATTTGTATATTATAGTCATTTTACCTCAATAGTAATTAATGACTAATTCAATTAAAATAAGTTTTTTAAAACAATGCAACCATTAAAAGTGAATATAGTTTTTTCTGTTCACTAGAAGTAATTGATCACCACTAATTATATATATATGTTTTTTTTTTTTTTATGGCAAGAATGTTAGATTAAAAGTTAGTAGGTGCAAAGCTCGAATTCGGGCTCCTGTTACAATGAGGAGTAACCCATCGTTGGGCTACAAAGACTCACTAAAAAAAATAATGCTTAGCTAAAAAAAATTGTCTCAATCTAATAATTAAATACAATAAACTCAGTGAATTTTGTCTTTTAACAGAAGTCCTCTATATATATTATAAAATAAATAATTAAATTATAATAACCTCACTTAATTTACGACTAAATAAATAAACACGAGCAGAGCAATCCAGAAAAGCTTCTGCTTGGAGGAATTGGGCTAGAAAAGAGTCTAAATGTGAGCCAAAAGTTGGAAAAGCAGGGCTTTATTTTATACTTGTAGATCCAACTCATAAGATTCATCTTTTTTAGTATGCAAATCTATTGGTCCAACTTCTTCATATGAATGTTAGAACCTTTCTTGGGCCAGGCCCTTAGCGTAAGACCTTTGGTCTAAAAGTCTTATGTAGCTTTTCACTTGCAAGCCCAAACTTAAAAGTAGGTTGGGCTTTCCTAACCTTGACCTATAGAATAAAGCTGCTGTTTTGAATCACATTTGGAATTTGTATATTGTTTTTCCAAACACATAGAATAGGTGTATTTTTTTTCACCTATATATATATATATATATATATTTCACAGGTAGAATAGGTTAGTACCCATTTGATAAAGCATAGAAGCTTTTTGGCATATTAAAATCCCTCACAACTATTCATGGTCTGGGAAGAAGATCCCAAGTCTTAGACCCGAGGCTAGGGCCAATACCAAGCATAGAATTGGTAACGAGAGAGGTATATATACTAATTGATGATTGGCTTTCACAGGGACCTTCTGTGATTGATTAGATTTGAATTATATTCCTAGATTCTCGTAATCTAAAACTCAGGATTTGTTAGAGTTTGTTATCTCATTTCATAAATTGTTTGTTATAGAGTTTGAACTCTGCACGTCTTTTTTAAAGAAGAAGAGGTTATATCATTGGACTAATTACCAAAAACATTAACTTGTTTTTCTTTATCTTATGAAAATAGAGAGGGTGTGTTCGTTTGCATGAAATTGGAGTCTTGGAAATAGAATTAGTGGAATTTGACAAAAATCATACCACTACGAAAATTGAATTAATTTTTTTTCAAATTTCACAAATTTCAATTTCAAAACTCCAATTTTATGCTACCGAACACACCGAAAGTCATTTCCTAGTCTATATCCCTTGACCCTAAAGTCCTATTTTTCTCAGACTTTGTCCATCATTTCTCCTCCATCCAAGTTGGACAAAAGTTGTTTGCCTTTTTCCTTTAATTCCTGAAACATGGCTTCATTTATGGTTGTTAGTTGTGCTTAATAGGCTTCCCACTTTGGATAATCCTTCTATGGCTTTGATGCATCTTCCGAATATTTGTGCTTTGTGCCATTCAGCCAAAGGATTCCATTCCTATCTATTTTTTCTTCTATTGTTTGCAATTATTTTCATGCCAAATGTGGCTTTTTATATTTAGATCCTTGACTGGAATTTCTACTGTCCACTGCCTCTAGGGCCATCAGAATTCCTCCACCTAAATCTGTGAATTTTTTGGCTCACAAGTTCTGTTTGGCAAAGATGTGTTTAGGGAATAAAAATAAATAAATAATGGGAATGTGCATTTTTGTTCCCTAAAAAGCTAGTAACTTTAATATGTAAAGCATATGCATCATAATTTAACAGAAACATTAGAAAATTTCTATTAACCATCAAAAAAACATGAATCTCATAATGTATGGAAAAATTTTCTGGGCTAGCAAATTAATGGAGACATAGAGAAATAGTAAAAATGGTGATGGGCACTTTAAATGCTTGAATTGGCAATCAAATATGTAAGGCTATAAATTATAAAGTGAAATAGGTTAATGGTATATATATGTATGGAACTGAAGAGGGTTATAAATGGTAGCACACTATGGTTCTAAAAAATTCTTGCATTTCATGATTGGCAAATGCACCATACATAACAAAATAACAAACAATTCAAGCATTGTCATCACAACATGTCCAGCCTTTTGCCCACATTTTTTTTTCGTACAATATTATTTGAAACCCTTGTAACTAATCTGCTAGTCAGCCTAAATCACAATGTCTCTTAATATCGATCTCACGATATCTCAATTATTCATTAGCTTCAAGTTGCTCAGGTATATATATATATATAGACCAGTTACACATTGACCCACAAGCCAATGGTTGAAACCACATATGTACATTGTGAATACAAGAGATCATATCATGATCACTAAGTTTACAGTATGGGTGCTCATGTTTTAATTTTGGTGAACTTGAGATTTATGCATGTATGCTAGTTATAGAGAGTAAAAAAAAAAAAAAAAAAAAAAATTGTATATCTATACATGTACATGTAGTACTCGTGCCTGCATCCGCATACATAATCACATACATACGCATACACCTTAACATTAGCATCATCGATGGCACCAGAACAAAGAGAACATAGCTGACATGAAATGGTGTTTTATATATATATATATATATATATATATAATCAAGGGCTATATTCTATTGATACTTCCTTTCTAAAACAGAAGGTCTGAGAATTTAAGAGTTCCCGTAAGAGCAAATTAACCGTGTGAATCTTTCTAAATGCATATATATACACAAATACATGCACATCTTATAAGCATATGTGGTTGTCACAAAGTGATGGATCAAATAAGTCCGCTAATATTTGATTTGTATGCTGAAAGGAAAAAAATAATAAAAAGAAGAAGAAAATATTGGGGAATACAATGAGAATATTTCAAAATATATGCAACGTACTTAAGAGAATAACTTTATGATGAAATTCTCATCACCTTAAACTCAAAAAAAAAATTTGATTATTAATTATCCGGTGAAATGTGAAACATAGATTCCGTGTGGACTATTCATTGGTTTAAGAGGAACACGAGTCTATCAAAAAGCTCTGGTCTGTTGGGGGTTCTATTTATTTGTTTAATTTTTTTTTTTTTTTTATTTGTTTGGACACAATAACTAAAAAGAACAACATGGTGTGAACCAAAGAGCTAGTAATAATGGTGGGCATAATGACGTAACATATGACAAACAAACATGTCATCACCATCCTTATGATAACATGTCATCACCATCCTTGTGATATAAGTAATGCCACACTGACGATACATACATATATATATATATATATATCAAGAGAGAGAAGAGAGTGAGTACAAAACAAACAAAACCAAACCGCATGTTTTTGTCCAAACCGGATCAAAGTCCACCTTTTCTATGTTAGGGCCTTGATATATGCAAGGTTCTCTCTCCTATTGAAAAAGACACTTCACTGTCTTCCTCTCTCGCACATATCATACTCATGAATGGTATGAAGAAAACACATGCATGAAACTCAACCACCCATTTCCTATTTTTGTTTGGAAATAGATTTTTTTTTTTTAAAAAAAAAAAAAACACCCCAAAGAAGCACACACAATGTTACAAAACAAGAGGAACAAAAAGAGGAGTGAGGACTTAGTGATTTAAAGAGACCTGTGTTCAGTGATGTTCATCATATTGGTTCTCTGTCTCTTAACACTCCCTGAAGCAGACTCATCACCATTAGTTTTCTCCATAACAGCTTTAAGTGCTTCTTGTATCGAACTTGTCGAACATTGTTGTTGTTGCTGTAGATCACCACCATTCGAATCTTGATCGTCCCCAGTTACGAACAAAACATTCTTAACACGCCCACCAAGCGTTGTGATCTCAGCTTTAAGTGTTCTGAGTCTCAGAGCTTTCAAGGTCTTGATAAGGTCAGGCAAGAGATCGGGCCTGTCTTCACAGCAGAGTGAAGCTTTGATCATAAACTTTCCATCCTCGTCATATTCATCCACGGTTAGCTCGTCGTCCTCAGTTGGCACCGGACTTGATTCAGCTATTTCAGATGTGTGGCGTTTAAGCTCCTTCACATGTTGTATCACCTCAGCTAGCAATGAAGCTTTATCTGTCTAAATTACAAACAAAAACACAATAACATGTAGTACTCATGCATAATTAAGATACATTAATGCATGTGTATTACTTTATGTAACATAAAAGAACATTAAGATTGCAACATTATGTCTATGTGTGTGTGTGTGTGTGTATATATATATAGAAGTGGTGGTTATATAAATCAGAAATAACACTAACAATAGCCGAATTCAGACTTGTAACATCATATTGATCCTATCTCAAATCATAACTAGATATGAATGTGCTTCAGGTATACCATGTCATTGGTAATGCCCGCTAGATATAAACACACCATATCAGCTTCTTGTAGGCAATTTGTTCTAGCTACTGGATATAGACCTAACATTTGATATTAATTTCACAAAATGGTTCTTAGAATGAGAATTATATTCTCATGTTAAAGAGTTGAAATTTTTACCAGTTATAGCGTGGAATCTTTGTAGGTCACTAGCCACTCTTTTAGCATTAACTTGGTATATTGTGTGAAAAGAGGTAGGTTTTAAAGGAATATATTTCTAGTTTGATCAATCTAACACTTGGAAGTTGTTGTTAATTGAAGCTAGGGTTTGGAGGCATAAGTGTCTACATATATAGTGACTGACAAGAATGCTTGTTTGTCCCTTTCTTTACTTCTTTTCATTCTCACTCAGTTTGACTGCAAAATGGGCAAGAATTTTCCATGGAAGCTTTTTAACTGCTCCATGGTTTCTCTTTTTCATATCAACTCAGCAAACATTATCCCCTTAACCCTTTTTCGTTTACTTTCCTCGAAACTACCACAACACTTGATTGGAATATATATATATATATATATATATATATCAAATAAATAGTACATCAAAAATGTCGAATATGAATGGACACACAAAAAATGAAGTGGCACTGTGTTTCTTGTGCATTCCCTAGAATCAAATCTCATGTTATATATGTGACTGTGTGTCTGTGTGTGTGCGTGTGTGTGTGTGTATATATATATATATATATCACCATCTGGGTAGAATCTTAAAAAGATCTAAGGAGATCCTTGAACCCAAAAGCCCCAGTTTGATATAGAACATAAAGTGTATGATAAAAAGACTATAGTGTAGGATATGTATATATATATATATATATATATATATGTGTATATGCACAAGTAGACCATCTTGTATGTGTATGTGCAAGGATTGAATTTTAGTTTTATAAATTTTGAAGTGCATGTTGATGGTGGTTGATACTTACTTTAGTGGTGCTGGGTAGCAAGCTGCGCAATTTAGCAAGATGGTTATTGATTCTCTCTCTTCTCCTCCTTTCAGCCTCACTATGGCTCTTGGAAGCAGCAAGAGCCTTAGCATCCATGATTTCTTGAGCAGTCATCTTACCCAACTCGGCTTGGAGACAAAAGATGGACGAACCGGCCGGTTGAACCGCCTGATGACCACCAAGTGAGTCAGAAATGAGCCGGAGGTGGTCCAACGACGGTCCCTCGTATGCAAACTGTGGATCAGGAGGCCTTCTATTGAATAAAGCACCGTAGGTTGATGGTGGAGGAGGTAGAAGAAATGGGTTGTGGTGGCGAACCGGATTTACCGGGAAATGAACCGGGTTGGAAGTGTGAACCGGAGGGAGAGACCATGTTAGGGTTGGAGAAACTTCAGGGTAGATCAACCCTGACCTACCCAATTCACAGTTTTGTTGCTGCATCTGTTGGTGGTGCTGTTGAAGAAGAAATAATTGTTCTTGGTAGCTTTGCATGTTATGGATACTATGAGAACAGTCACCTTGTTCTTTGTCCTCCTCACACATCTCTTTCATATATATATATATATATATATATATATCCAACTCACCTATATATGTGTGTGTTTGTTTTTGTCTGAACCCACAAAACAAGTTTCAGATTCAAGAACTTTAAGCTTGTTCCCTGATGATTTTTGCTTTTTTTCATAAAAAGATGAAAAGGAGTATACTTAAAGAGAAGGATCAAAGATTTGGAAAAAGGGATAAAGGGGGAAATTAAGGAAGAAACATGAAAAAGGAAGTAAGAGAGACCTTGCTTTGATATATATCTGATGAAGAGCTAGCCTTGGCCACCTTCTCTCTCTCTCTCTAACTTGAATTGGTATTTCATTTCTGCCACAAACTTTGTTGGGGTGACTGATGACCCTTTTTATCCTACTTTGATCAACTAAGCCCTTCTCCTTTTATGCTGGTGCTTTCTTTGGTATCTTCTTGGTTACTTCTTCTTTTTAGGCTCTTATTATCCTGACTTTCATCCACTCTTAACATAGGGTGTCAATAACTATTAGTCTCCTTTCTTTTCTTCTCATTACTCTCTCTCCGTCCATTACTGCGCCTATCCCACGGGAATATATTGAGTCAGCCGGCATGCCACATCATTGATATCCCGTCCAATCGTTAGGTTTTATGTATTAAATTTTAAAAAATTTATTAAATGATCCTGATCTATTTGATACTTGGTAGACTAATTCAATAAAAAATCTCCGATCATAAAACTTTGTAATTTATTAATACACTCTTTTGGAGTTGTTTTTAAATTTAGTTAGAATGATTATCCTCAACAAATTAAAATGATGAATGTTGATTGGATTGTCATATCAATGACGAGAAGGTGTTGGGTGCGCTGGACATATACGTGATTGTTATATCCATCCTATTAACATGCTCCTTTCATTGAGATTGGTCCCATTTACATAAAATAATTGTTTTCAACAAATTAAAATGGCAAATGTTGATTGGGTAGACATACCAATGAAGTGGTATGTTCGGCTCACTTAATATCTACTCACCACTAACATAATATGACCGGCTCAACAATAGATATATATATATATGTCTGATTAAATATTAAAATTACATTTTTGTATTAATTAAGCTTTTAGAGTATATGATAAATTATAGTGATATTAAAGTCAAAATATTTCAACGGGAGGGGCATGGGTGAAGAGGCTAGTCGAAAATGTGTCCCACTTTATATAATTTAAGGGATCAGGGTGCACTTGGACTCATCTGATCAAAATTAATGTTCAAAGTTCTTTATAATAAAAATCTTATTACATTTTGTAGGTTCACTTTACTTTAATTGTGTTGATTTGACTAAATCAAGAAGCGTTAATGACAAAGACCGTCAATTAATTTCTCAATTCGCCGTTTTTGACTATAGGCCCTCGGCTCCCAATAACACTGTTCGTATTAAAATACAAACAGGAGCACTTTTGGAGTATATGGTAAAAACTGCAAATATAGCTTTGTGGTTGGTTCAAAGTGTATAATTACACAGTGTGAGCGCTAGAGAGAGAGAGAGAGAGAGAGAGAGAGAGAGAGAGATGGAGATGGGGGGAAACACAAGTACAGCAACTTGGACACACAACACACAGATTGTCGATTAATGTAAAGGAGAGATAGAAAGAGAATTGTGGGTTTGTGGGGTGATGTATATATGATGATGATGATAAAAGGGGGCTTTTTAGCTTTTGCACCTCAGTCAAGCATCCTCCACCTTCTTCCATCCTCTCTATCTCGCTATTTCCATGCGCGCCACCTTTTCTGCTTGGTTCCCCAAAATCCATGTAATCTTAATCATTGTGTCTTTGAACGCACTCCATCCTACACATTTAATTAATCCCTCCCCTCTCCCTTCATGTGTGTATTCATACTGTATACATGAGTGCTGCTGTTTGGGCCCCAAATAGGCCCACTAACAAAGTATTTTCCTCCATTAATTAATTTCTCCACGTGTCGTTGGTAAGTTTCGCCCAAACTCTTACATGACTTTTCTCATTATTGTTAACTTTTTTATTTTTATGAATATATATATGGTGTAATTTAAAATTGTAATTAGCATTTTCGGTATCAATACGAGTACGATTCAGTTGAAATCTTTATTTTCCTTTTGAGTCTTAAGGTTAAAATTGAAAATAAAAGTGTTACCTCACTCCGTGATTGAACGCTTAAACAACCAAGTGAAGTGATCATACACTAAAGTTATGTTTTTACACTGAGTTAGAAATTTTTAATCAAAATCTTATTTTTTTTACTCTCAAGAAAAACATAAAGGCTTTGCACCAATTTGTTAACCTTTCTAAGGGTTTTTAAGGTTCTCTAAACACCTATAAATATATTTTATGCTTTCAAGATCGTTACGGCTTTCAATACTCAAGTTTTCAAACCTTAAAAGAGCTTTTGAGAGATTTTGTAGAGATTTCTTATTTTTCAATTTGAGAATACACTTACTACACACAAAGAGTGATTTAGGGTGTGTTTCTTTTTGTGATCGAAGTTTTTTCCCATCGAAAGTCTTTTGCTACCGGTTATAAAAGTAGCTTTTATTTTTCTACTTCAATAATTCAGATTTGAAGAAAATGAAGACGAGATCACGCTTTGAAGGGATCAAGGCATTCCTGGAGTGCTCGTTGATCTACCAGCAATCCTTCTATAGGAATCAAAGGAGAAAGTTTGAATTCAAGTGTTGTTGGACAAGGAGTCGCAAAGCTGAGGTTCTTAGTAGAGTGAAAAGGTGTGAGACTAAGGTGTTGTTTGATAAAACTGAAAATTAAGTACTGAAAATTTTAAGTGCTAAAGTTCTTAAGTGGTAATTAAAAAATAAATATGTCTTTTTAAATTTTCAATATTCATCATTCAGTGATAAGTAATGTCTATATTCAAAGTGTATTATGAAACACACTTAATTGAATAAGTTCCTAAGTCGAAAACCATTATATTTTGTTTCATCTATGGTGAATCTTTTCACTCAAAAGAACACATTTTTTTTCTTCTTTTTTTCCTCAGGGCAAGAATGTTAGATTAGAAATCAAAGTGTAAAGGCTCTAAGTCAGGCTCCCAACTACAACAAGAAGTGAAGCTTGTAGATCATCATTCTTCATCTGAGACATATCGTTGTCTTCAAGAATGGTGATATTTGCATTGAATCTGGGGGTTAAGGATCTGAGAATCTTCTTACATACATTAAAGTCCTTAAATATCTTCACCAAGAGCCTTTATGTTGTTTAAAATTTCATTGATTCTGAACAAGTATTCTAATACAGCTTCCCTTTATTCTATTTTACAACTCTCATATTGAACTTTAAGAAGTTGAATCTTGTTTTCCTTGATTACATTGTTTCATTCATGAGTAGCCTTGAGAGAGTTCCATATTTCTTTAACTATTTTGCAATTTGTTATCCTTGTGAACAGCAGCAGAGCCAGGATCGTGTGATTAGGGGTGCCAAAGTGATGGACTGAGTGAGAGAGAACTCAAAGAAGAGAGAATGTGATGGACTGAGCGAGATAATCGTTCGCATTCTGCCAAACCAAAAAAAAAAAAATTGAGCCATATTTCAAGGAAAAAAAAAAAAAAAAAAAGGAGAGGTGGAGGTACACTAAGGAAAAAAAAAAAAAAAGGGTCAAAGCATTATATAAAAATAATATAAAATATAAATAAACAAACAAACATCATTGAGGCCAGGGGACCTTATGGTCTGAGCACAAAACATCGAAATAACTCTTATGTTAAAAGAAGTAAAGATGATATAATAAATTATATATATATATATATATATATAATAAACTAAAAAATTTCTTGCGGGGGCCAAAGGTACTCATTACTTTACACAAGGTATACTAAATTTTTTTGAACCTATACTAATAAAAAATACTAAATTTCTTGTAAGGGCCAGGCCCCCCCTCACTCCGCCCCTTCTTGTGAACTCTTATTGTTTGAGTGTACAGAATAAAGCATATTTTGCCCTTCCATCATTTGACAAAGCTACCTTATCAACTGTAGTAGGTTCAGCTGCATTTGTGATAGTAAAACCAACTGTAGTAGCTTGCTACACTTCATATGACTGAGACATCAAGAATGCCTTCATCCTTATTTTCCAAGAATAATAGATTGAGCCATCAAACCCTGGAGCCTTGTTTGTAACTTGTTCTTCTTCCATATTTCAAGATCTTTTCTGTAGGATGTTAAGCAAATACAACAGACTTTGGCTCTGAAACTAATTGATGAACCAAGATGAGGAGGGAGTGAATTGGTTCTTCCGATTTTTCACATCTTAAACACTTTTCACAAACAAGTATAGCACCACAGCTTGATAAACTCATACACATGTATCACTAGGGTTTGATAAACTCTAATATGTTACATATGTTTGATACAAGTTCACAACCATAAAGATACAAAGATTTTACAAAGAAAACCCCTCTCAATAGGGATCAAAAATTTTGGTTCTTGGGTACTCACCCAATATAAAATCCACTAGTTGTGTTGCGAGTTGATACACACTCAGTTGTCTCACACTTTGCACACACCCTAGCTCACCTTTGTGCACACAACACTCATCATGTCCTAAGCAACCCTGGTTTGACCAAATAAGCTCTCACAGCTTCTCACAAACATGAAAAAAGATGTATAAACATCATACAATAGCTATTACAAATAATCAGAATAAAATTACAACTCAAAGTATGCACCAGTACATAAATACTTAACAAATTATGCAGAATATGTGGTCTGTGTACTCAAAATAGAATCCAGCTTCAATACAAACCCAAACTTGGTTCCCACATCCCTGTTTCAATAAAACTCACTTGCTCTGATGTTAAACATAATGAGTATAGTAAGATATATCTGTAGTCCGAAAATATGGTCTAAGTATGCCATACACTATAGTATTACTATTTAAATATTATACATAAATATAATATGGGTATATATATAATTATTATTATAAAATAAAATAAAACAAAATAAAAGAACCTGGAAATAAGTCGAGGCTAGAATTTGATTATAAGTTGTCTAAAGGTTGTAAGACATGGACTTTAGATCTTAACCATATATTTTGGGACTATAATTATGATAATTTGGATTAAATGGTATGTGGATGTTCCACCATGAGATAAACCATGTTGAGGCATGATGAATGGATGAAAGGGATGCTGGAATGTATTATTTGCATTGTGTTGGGACAGGTTAGATAAATTTTGAAGGTCCAAGAAAGACCTTTGCATTTTTATGCAATTAAGCAGGTTGTCGTAGGACCCCTTTTAGCGAAGGTCATGCCGAATTTTTTGTTTTTATTTTTTTTTATAAATGAGGGTCGTTACAAATTTGGTATCAGAGCATTGGTTTGAAAACCATTAGGACGATGGGTAGAGGCCTACCTAGGGTTATCTGGGAAGTCATTTGCATTGTTAATTCCTTATTTACAAAAGTGTTTTGCAACATGAAAAAGCATGCTTAACTGTTTATTTGTTTACGTGTTTATATGCTTATATGATTATATTAA